CAAAAAGAGCGTCCAGACATCCAAACAAGAGAATTCACCTTCATGAGTAGGCTGATGAAATGTGTACTTGAATAAAAGTGTCAAAAACCCCACCACAGGGAACTGGGAGTAAGACTCGATTCTTCTTAGGTGAACACTCACAAAGAGCTGAAGAAAGTCGTTAAACTTCTCGATATAGCTCTCATCGAGCTCTTCTAGCCTGCTCTTCACCGTGTGGGCATTGTTATCCTTGGTGATTTTCTGCAGGAGGTAGAAAGTCTGCTGGAATATACACAGTAAATACTCCTCGAACTCCATAGGCACACAGTTCTTGGACATGAGTTCCTTGATGCAGGACGTGGCCAGGACCCTCAGCCGGCTCCACTCCTGAACCCAGACACAGTTCTCGTTGCTGCCGTTAACTGACACCATGTTTCTGGCTCGGATGTCGTAGCTAAATCGCACAAAGTAGAAGATGATGGTAAGGAGGGATGGGGTGATGCTGGCAGACAGAGGGATCCAACTGAAGAGATGGGCCAGGCACTCCAAGGCCAGGGAACAGATACATTCACTCAACACATCAAGGATGAGAATTGGCTGATTCCACAGTTCGGCTGAACTAGGAGTCTGCAACAGGTTACTCAGCAAGTCTCCTGAGGTTGGGGATGGTGGTGGAGTGGCAGCAGTAACACTGTTTGTCCCAGACAGTCTCCAAGATACCTGTCAGTAGCCCAAGCACTGTCTGCACCTGGTCCAGTAGCCACCTCCGCAACTCCTCCTTCCCAGCCACAGTGAGGTCCTCACCGGGACAAGCCAGCTCTTCTGGAGTTGTCTTCAACATGATCGGCCCAAGGGGGTTGTCACAGGGGACTGGTTCAACTGCAAAATGTTAGTAAAAAAGTCATGGTAGAGCATGGGCCAATCCTGACGTCCAATATCAACAATAACTTTGCAGAGCTTGTTCATGATAAAAGAAGGTAAGGAGCCACAAGGAGTTTGGGCAGGCAGCTATGGATTTCCATCTCATCCTGAGATGGGACCCCAAGCCACATTTTATTGATCAGATTCTCAAAAACTGTTAAACTGTACATCATTACATAGTCATTCCTAGTGCTGGAGAGAAAGTACTGGCAGAATCTCCAGGCTCCTATTTGTTAGGCAAAGTTATTAAGAAGTTCCTCTATCTCATGTTTTCTTTCATCGGTTGTACAGTTGTGAAAAACTCCTGTCAGCAGACTTCCAATGCCCTGAGAGAGGCTTCTTCAGGTGCCATGCTGGCCGGGGAGGGGACGGCTCAGATGAGCTGGTTCTTGGGCTTTGGACACGTCCCACTTACACAGTTCAGGTCATGGTCCCGGCAGACTAGGGAAGTCCCCCACCCATGCACAGACAACCCCTTCCCCACTGGGCCCCGAGGGGACCCTCTAAAAAGGGCAGGGCCGCCCGGGTCGCCTCGTGGGGGCCCCCGAGACGATTCATCCAGACCCACCCGCCCCTTCCCAAGGAAACTGAAAAAGTAGGAAATGGGGCTCGCATGCCGGCGAGGAGGTCAGCGGCTCGGGATCCCCGCCCGGGCCCGACGCCCACGGGGGAAGCTGCGGCCCAGGCAGGGGCTCCCCGGGCCTCCGCGGGCAGAGGTGGCAGCGGACTCGGCCCCGAGGCTGAAGGGGCGGAGGCTGATGGAGCCTTGGCTGCGCTGCCGGGGCAGCCGGCTCAGAGGAGAAGCCCGGGGGCCCGCGCTGTCCTAGCCTCCTCAGCCCACACGGTGGCTGCAGCCGCCCCGCAGAGCATCCCGGTGCACGCCAGCCCTGGAGCCGCTCGCTCGTACTGCGCGGCAGCCCCCGACCACGGCATCTTTTAAATCTGCTACTGTAAACCACTGGTGGCTGTATGGGATCCTACTGATAATAGTATTAGGATTGGAAACAACAGGGTGTGTAGTTTGGACTATCTGGTTAATAGCTCTAAGGTCTTGCACTAACCGGTATGACCCATCTGCCTTCTTTACAGGCAGTATTGGAGTGTAATAGGGAGACATACAAGGTTCAAGAAGCTCATCATGGAGAAGACCTTCAATTAGAGGTTTTAAATTTGCCCCGGCTTTTAAAGGAATGGGGTATCGCTTTCTCTTTACTACTTTCCCAGGGGTTTTTAATTTAACATGAATCGGAGGAATCTGTAACTTTCAATTTCCGTCTTTTGACCATACCTCGGGATGAATGTGTTCTTTGTCTGTGGTGGTGAGCAAGTTTAGGGAGGGGAGGAATTTTCCATGATTGATTTGGAGGCCTACGCCTAATTTTAGCATTACATCTCTTCCTAATAGATTTGTCCCTGTTTCCAGAATTAACAAAAATTTGATACTAGCTTATTGTTTTTTATATGTCACTTCTGTCTCCTCTAAGATTTTTTTTTTTTTTCTCTCTACCTTTGAGTCTCCTGGCTTTACTCTTTTGTACCCTTTATATTGCCTGGAGAGTGGGGGTCTAGGTTCTTTATAGGTTCTGGCCCCTTGAGTACTTTGTTGTATGGCGGACAGCAGAGTTTTCACCTACTGCTTTTGTTTTTCTTCATCTTTTCTTACATATACTTTTTGGGCTTCTCTCAGAAGCTCTTCTATAGGTCTATCTTTCCAGTTCTCTATGTTTTGTAATTTCTTGTTAATATCTGGCCAACTCTTAGTGACAAAATGAAGTTCTAAACATTCCCTGCCCAAGAGGGTCTTCTGATTCTAGGCCAGCATATTTTCTCATTTGGTCTTTAAGCCTTTCTAAAAATTCTATTGGTCCCTCATCTTTTCCCTGTTTTCTATTAAAGGTCTTGGTAAGATTTTGGGTGCAGGGCACCAGTTCTCGAATTCCTTTTATTACCATCTCCCTAAGGTCTTTCATGTTTCCTCGATGGGCCGTATTGTTGTTATCCCATTAAGGATCCTGGGCTGGGAATTTTGTTCAGCCGCTGGGACATTCTGACCAGGAGGGTGTTCATGTTCCCAAACGGTCATAGCAGCCCTGCATATCATGCTCCTTTTTTCTCCTGAGAATAAGATGCCTAAGATAGACATTAACTCAGCCCAAGTATATAACTGGGGTCCTAAAACTGATCAATTTGATCTGCCCCTCCATAAGGATCATCTAAGAGTGGTTTAAGCTCCTTTTTTAGGTTAAGGGAAGAGTCTGGGGTGGCAGCTCGTTGGGGGAGAGGAAGGTACTTTAGTCCAAATAAAACAGCAGTATTTTATCATTTGCTGCTTTTTCTTGTGTTGGGTCCTTCCATTACCCTTCCACTATTCTAACATTAGGCCTAGGGGACTATCACAGGGCATATTATCATGATGATGATCTTTCCTATCTTTTGTCTTACCTGCTATATTTACCATCCTGGAGAAAGTGTTTTTCGCTGAGTCTGCAGGGCTCAGTCTCTCTTACTAGAGATTTCTTGCACCCCAGCAAGTCTGCGGGGCTCAATCTCTCCTACTAGAGCAGGTCGGTATAAACTCCATGATGGGCAAGCCGCCTTTAAGCTGTATGAGGTGAACGCAGAACCAGATCTGGACTCTGCACTCGCTCTACACTCAGTTGTGTGTCTCAGTCACACACTTTCAACCTTCAGGATGTCCTGACCACCAAGGAAATACTTCACTGCCCCCACAGCTTTTCTTATCTTGGTCTGTGCACAGAGTTACCTGGTTGCCCTGGTATTTATTTGTAGGCCTTTTCTTCCTGCTTTGCTGAGAGTCCGGATTTATTCATCACACAGAGTAGGTCTCGATTCCTTACTCCGAGGCCGCAGCAATGAGGGAGCGAGACGCATCTCCTCATGAGAGGTGATCAGAGACTTTTCCCCAGAGAAGCAGAGAAGAATGGGATCCTGGGAAGGCCCCCAAATTTGTTGGAAGTAAACACTCGGTGCCGCAGGGTGAAAATAGCACTCAGGCAAAAGTTTTCACAGCAAGCCAATTTACTTCTATAGAAGGGTGCATCTCACGGATGGAGCAAAGGTGAGAGCACACCGAACAAGGGAGGGGAAGAGGGTCTTACTCCTAATGCAGCTAGTCCCTACTGCTGTGTCTTTCCCCTGTTGGCTAGGGTTGGACCACACAGTCCAAGCTAATTCCAATTGGCTATTTTAAAGAGAGGGTACCAGCCGGAGTGGTGGGGTGAGCAGTTCTGGAGGGAAGGACAGTTACAGAACAGGTGACTAAGGATACCTAAGGACAGAACAGGTGATAGAGTCTAGGAAGGGGTTGGTTACTGAAACTAGGGGCAAGGAGGTGTAAAGAACAAGGAAGTTAAGCTTGTTCTTTAAAATGGAGAACAAAGAACAGGGAAGCTGAATATACTGACATATTGGTTCTTTGAAGAGGAACTCAGAGCTCATTGTACTTAACAATTGTTCTCCCTCTTGAATTTTAAAGGAAGTCGTTAACAGGCTAAACTTTTTTTTTTTTTTTTGAGACAGAGTCTTGCTGTGTCCCCCAGGCTGGAGTACAGTGGCGCGATCTCGGCTCACTGCAAGCTTCGCCTCCCGGGTTCACACCATTCTCCTGCCTCAGCCTCCTGCATAACTGGGACTACAGGCGCCCACTACCGCGCCTGGCTAATTTTTTGTACTTTTAGTAAAGACAGGGTTTCACCGTGGGATCCACCTGCCTTGGCCTCCCAAAGTGCTGGGATTACAGGCATGAGCCACCGCGCCCGGCCAACAGGCTAAACTTTGAAGAGGAATTTACTGTCTCCTACAAAACTCAGGTTTAGCTGCTCACCTCTTGAAAGCAAAACTCAAGAGACAAGGGCTGGTGGAAGGAAAAGCAGGTTTATTCAAGAGATGGCAACCTGAGGAGATGGTGGACTAGTGCCTCAAAGACTATGTCAAATTTTTAAGGTAGCCAAAGGGATTTTAAAGGAAAAGGAGGCATGGAAACTATGAGCAGGAGTGGTGCAGGACGCAGGACTGCGTGTCTCATTCTGATGACTATTTTCAGTAATGAACCACCTGGAGGTCTGGCTGGCATCACCATGAATGCAACCAGGTTATGGATTAACTACTCAGTGGTTTCTCTGAGAAGGGAGGATTCTACAATCTCAATTTAATACTTGGTTTATTTCAAGATTGCCCCCTGGATCTCTTAAGCAAGTATATGGTTAAATATTGAACAAAGCAAAGGGTGAGGCTATTCATCTTTGAAGCAGGCTATTTCAGCTTAAGTAGGAGTGTCTTGTTTTTCATAATGAGCCCCTTTGGATCATGCCTGAGATTATGCTAATGAGGTAACTTAAGGTGGGGTCCCTACATGACCTCAGGATAGGGCTGGCACCAGAAAGACCAGGGATTAGAAGGTTAAAACTTTCAACCAACCCACTGACATTCAGAAAGGGGGCAGGGACTGGAGATCAAGCTCCATAAAAACTCTCGGACATACAATCTGAGGAGTTTCCAGATTGCTGAATACATGGAGGTGTTCAGCAATGGGATGAATGGCATGCCCAGAGGCCATAGAAGCTCCACACCTTTCCCCTCCCATACCTAGCCGTATGCACCTCTTCCATCTGGCTGTTCGTGAGTTGTGCTTATGATAATAAACTGATAAATATAAATAAGGTGATTTGCTGAGTTCTATGAGCCATTGTAGCAAATTATCAAATCTAAGGAAGGAGTGGTTGGAACCCCCAATTTATAGCTGGTTGGTCAGAAGTACTGGAGGCCCAGACTTGCCAGTGGCATCTAAAGTAGGAGGCATCTTATGGGACTCAGCTCTTAACCTGCGAGATCAGATACGTATGTGTTTAATACACCTGACCCAATCAGGTGAGCTTTGCTGTTCCCTATTGTTCTATCATGATCATTCTTGGTATTCTGTCAATATCTAACTTACAGAGAAGGTCAGTGGTCATGTCCTTTCCTTAAGTTCCTCCAAATTGCTTGACCTCCTGAGAGCAAGAGTGAGAAACGGAGCAAGGGAGAGAGATTGAGAATGAGAGAGAAAGAGAGAGAGAGAGAAAGACAGGGAGACAATATTAGATCTGGCCTTGGGAGTTAGAGAATTATGAGGGTATAAGTGCATTTCTGCCTGAATGCAGCTTTACTGGTACTTTAGAAATTCACCCAAAGCCTAACAAAAACAAACTAGTGTGTTGTCTTTTTTTTCTTTGAAATATTTATATTCCATTTCTGGTTAACATAGTTAAGACAAAGTTGAATTATAACATCATCAATAGTAAAAGAAAACATTTAACACATCTATCAAGATAATCACAATGGGGTTACTTAGGATAAGGCTGAGCTGCAAAAACAGCTCAGTAGTTTAAAAGCAAAATATTTTATTTTCCTCTCACTTGAGAGCTCCTTTCTAAGCAGTGCAAGTTATTTAGGAATCGGACTTCTTTCATTGTGTTACTCTGCCATCCCCTAGGAGAAAGCTGTTCTCCTTTTCTGTGTCATGCACCCCTTCAGCATTCTGATGAAGCCAAACAGTTGAGAACAATAACAATTGAGAAAAAGAGAACAGTAATACTTGTTCTCTGAAAAATATCATTAAATGCAAAAAAAAAAAAAAAATACATGGGATTTCAAAGGAAATCAAATATCAAACATTTAAAGTGTATGATATAGTATTGTATGTGTTTATTAATGCATTAAGTACTAAGACTTAAATTCAAGTCTAATTACTACTATAATTTTGAGGCAGTGATCAATGTGAAATAATATTTTGAGATATTGGCAACAAATATAAATGGATATAAAAAGTCTATGATTTCTATTTTTTTCTACTTTCATTAGTAAAGGAATTGCTACATTTCAATATGGGTGAATGAAAAGATGTAATTTTCTGCACTGCACCACTGCATGGATCCTATGAATTCTACCCATAGAGCCTTTCAAATCTCATGGATTACGGGTTAAAACACCCGTAGACATGTTCATCCTCTGCACAAAGAAATCTGAGTCACTATTATGGTTTTGTGAAACAGTAGCACACCTAAATTTAAGAATTGAATAGCTGTTAACAAAATAAAATGCCAAGGAATTAATAGAAAGCAGTTAAAATAAAAAACAATGTTTAAAGAACAAATATGATTAACAAGTAATTTGAAATTTATACTCAAAGAGAAATATCTCCTTAATAATGCAAATCAGAAGTCATTATCCAAGGAACTCCTGTTGTAGAAACTGGTAGACAGCTCTAGGAAGTAGAGCCATTAAGCCGTTACCGGAAATACCGGCTAACCTCTTTCTGGGCTGCATTGGTAGTGGCTAATTTCTGCAAATATAATAGAATACTGTTCCCCTCAGCGTAGTTTAGCTTAATTCCTAATTGGTTTTATATCCAAAAGGCTTTAGGACTTTGGGTTTAGCTCATAGGTGAGTTTATGGATGTATCCTTGGAGTCCACAATAAACTTTTTTCCACATTGAAAGTAGAATATCTGGCAGGTGCAGGGACTCACTCCTGTAATCCCAACACTTGCGAGTCTGAGGTGGTGTGATTGCTTGAGCTCAGGATTCGAGATGAACCTGGGCAGCGGGGCGGTGCTCAAGCCTGTAATCCAGCACTTTGGGAGGCCGAGACGGGGGATCACAGGTCAGGAGATCGAGGACCATCCTGGCTAACCCATGAAACCCCATCTCTACTAAAAATACAAAAACTAGCCGGGCGGGTGGCAGGCACCTGCAGTCCCAGCTACTCGGGAGCTGAGGCAGAGAGAATGGCGTAAACCTGGAGGCGGAGCTTGCAGTGAACTGAGATGCGGCCACTGCACTCCAGCCTGGGTGACAGAGCGAGACTCCGTCTCAAAAAAAAAAAAAAAAAGACCTGGGCAACCTCATCTCTACAAAAATTAAAAAATTAGCTGGATATGATGGCGCACACTTGTTGTCCAGCTACTTGGGAGGTTGAGGTGGGAGAATTGCTTGAGCCCGGGAGGTAGAGACTGCAGTGAGCCGAGATCATGCCACTGTACTGCATTCCAGCCTGAATTAGAGAGGGAAACCCAGGACCTTCTCTCAAAAAAAAAAAAAAAAAAAAAAAAAAAAAAAAAAAAAGAAAGTGAGAAAGTAGAATATCACTTATTTGAGAAACACTAGATTAACTAGTTGACATGTCTGAGGTAGTACAACCATGTAATGTTATCAACAATAGAGATCAGCACAATGCTATATTGCTTAAAAACTGCTTTCACATAGATTTCCTACTTAGCTTGCTTCTTCACACATTGGCTCAGGTGGCTTCTCTCTCCTACCTCTCTCTACATTCATTGAGTCATTACTTGATTTTAAGCCTTCAATAAATAGTGCACACTTGTTGGAAAGAACTCTGGATGTGTGGGCACACAACAAACAACTGATCTTCCCACAGAATCACTGCTCAAGTCGTCCAAATTCAGATGCCCAGGATTGTTCCCTTTTTGCTCTCCCCTGTTCCCCAAAGACCTAGAGAGTAGAAGGATGCACAGAACCTGCTCTAAGACTATCCTCCTTCCATCCAGTCTGTCAGCACACGATTCCCTATTATTCAAGGACTGCTTGAGAGCTGCACTTTAAAGATAAGTTCTGGTTGTAAACATTCTGACATTCCAACAATGAGGTGGTCCAGTGAGAAAATCAACCAAGATGACTTGACTAGGAGCAGCCCTTGGAGGTGCTGATAGAAAACATATGCAAGTATCTTATTTTATTCATCAATTACACCTTTGACTAGTTTCAATGAACCACTATTGGTCACATTTGCCAATTCTGGGGTAGTTGTTATGAAACCTACGGTGAAAAATCCGGGCTGTGATGTGGAAGGGTCACCCCTTGGACGCTCTCATGGGCTGGTGGTCTTGTCTGGTTTGAGCTGAGTTCAGGACTGAATCTTGAGTTCCTGAAAAACAACTTAGCCAGCACCTTGTGACCCACACTTCACAGTCAGATGTTGTATATAGGAACATTGTGGAAACTATGGCTGGGCTACGTGACATTTTAATGGTAAGCACTACAGCGTCAGCAGACAGCTAAGGGTCACAGTTATAAGCTGACCAGAAAAACTTCAGATACTGGCTACCTAATCATTTGTAGCTATCAGGCTATTGGTTTCATTAGATATTCTTTCACCTCTTAATGAGGGCCCTAAGTTCACAATGTTAAATGCGGTTTTCCTCAGTGAAGTTCCCATATAATGTATCCTAGTCATCCAGAGACTTCCCAGAAGTTTGTTAGAAATTACATGCAAGAGCTGGGTCTCTTGTTGTCTCCTAATAGTGCTTGATAACCTATTTCCGGGGTCACCTAGGGTCTTTCAGTTCTTTTGTGCCTGGAGTCAGTCTTGATGTTTGTAGCCTTTGCTCAAAGCCACTATCTGAGTGAACCCAAGTGTTCCAGATGAGACGATACAGGAACAGGCTCACATAATAAGGCTGTTCCCCATCACCACCTCTGCTACCAATCAGTTCAGGAGCTGAATCTCCCCCTGCTATTCCTTTCTCCACTGCTGCAGATTTCCTGGGCTCTGAGAAAAGGAGGAGGATGCAGACTCTGCTATTCAGATCCACACATTGAACCCCACTATAACCAGTGACCTGAACTCTGAGTAGTGACCTGAGTCTGAGTAGGGTAAGAACTGCTCTGCTGAGGACGCTCGGGGGATGACCAGGAGCACTGGAAGGAGGCTGATTGAACTTTAATTTTTATTTATTAGTGTTAATTTTTTGAGATGGAGTCTTGCTTTGTCACCCAGGCTGGAGTGCAGTGGCGCTCTCTTGGCTCACTGCAACCTTCGCCTCCCGAGTTCAAGAGACTCTCCTGCCTCAGCCTGCTGAGTAGCTAAGGTTACAGGCACACGCCACCCTGCCTGGCTAATTTTTTTGTATTTTTAGTAGACATGGGGTTTCGCTGTGTTGGCCAAGCTGATCTCGAGCTCCTGACCTCAAGTGATCCACCTGCCTCAGCCTCTCAAAGTGCAGGGATTACAGGTGTGAGCCACTGTGGCTGGTCTGATTGAGCTTTTAGATAGCAAAGAATGGAGAAGGAACGAAATCATGGAAAACTAAGGCCTGAATTCCAGTCAGCCTCATTCCCACTGATACAAGCTTTTCCCTGTCCCTCCCTTCCTTCACCCCTAGTCGTCTCAACCACAATGCATTAAAGCTGCTTGCATCCTACTCTCCTACCCTGTGTAGGTCTTTATCACCAGGACAGGGTTCCACAGATAGGAAGTACCCACCCTTTGTTCTGTGTCTGATGTGGGCATTTGACATGGTTAGAAGTGCTCTCACATACATGCATCTTATTAGACTCTCACAGGTCTGTAGGGAGCTGTTATTAGGCCCTACATCGGTAAGGACACCGATGCTCAGAGCTGTGAATCAGGTTAGAGGTTCAGTAGGGCCAGGAACTCTCCTCAGGGCAAATGAGGACAGAGAGCTGGTTTAAAGAGGTAACTTTTTCTTTTTTTTTTTTTTTTTGAGACGGAGTCTTGCTCTGTCACCCAGGCTGGAGTGCAGTGGCCGGATCTCAGCTCACTGCAAGCTCCTCCTCTCGGGTTCACGCCATTCTCCTGCCTCAGCCTCCCGAGTAGCTGGGACTACAGGCACCCGCCACTTCGCCCGGCTAGTTTTTTGTATTTTTTAGTAGAGATGGGGTTTCACCGTGTTAGCCAGGGTGGTCTCGATCTCCTGACCTCGTGATCCGCCCGTCTCGGCCTCCCAAAGTGCTGGGATTACAGGCTTGAGCCACCGCGCCCGGCTAAAGAGGTAACTTTTTCAAACGACCATACATCCTATGCTGTGACCACAGTAGCTCTGGTGGGGATGGTTTTAGTCTTTTTGCCTAATTGATTACAGTTATATTTCTAAACTGGTGTCCTTTTATGATGGCATCGTCAATAAGCAGCTCTGACAAATGAAGATCATTTGTAATAGTGATAATTAGGGGAATGCCCCTGAGAAGGAATATGGGTAGTTAGTAGTAATCATATGTTCCACCCAGGCTTTGGGGGAAGTGTTAAAAGGAAGTCAAGATATTGAAGAAGCATCATTTTGCAGAGTCAGTGCAATTGTAACCTGGTCTGTGATTTCAGAGAATCAAAGCCTTCCTGCCTAAGAACCACCTGCCTAGTAGTCACTCATCTTCTACACTCCTCTAAAATGTGACAGCCCTGCTCTTTTTGCCTGCTGTCATCCACATAAGATGTAACTTTCTCCTTTTGCCATCTGCCATGATTGTGAGACCTCTCCAGCCAGATGGAACCGAAGTGGAGTCTCTGGAGCCGCCCAGCAGCAGCCTCATTACTCAGAAGATGCTGACGAAAACCTAGACGGGAAGAAAGGAAGAAAAAGCGTCCTCTATGTTTATAAAGTGAGCATGTTGGTCCTATTTATAAATATATGTATGATTTATAAGCTTTTTTAAAACAAAGCTCAAATTGTTGGTATTTTTCTAAAATGTGCACAGCTGTATTTTACATGAAGGCTCTTTCTAATGGGTTGTTATACTGTACTCAACATTTTGGACAGCACATGAAGTCTGCCAATGTACTTCATAAAACATGACTTTGTTTATTTAAAGTTTCTTGCTGTGAAAAAGAACTCCCTACCTGTGAGCTCCTTTATTTATAATTCTTGAAACCAAACTGTGTAATGTACAGTTTTCACAACTGTATCTGCTCTAATAAAAAAAAGTTGGTTATAAGAAAAAAAAAAAAGAAAGAAAAAGCATCCTGACTGGTACATTAGCAAAGGCACAGCCCTGGAGGGCAAGGAGAGGGGCAGGGCAGGCAGCAGTGCATGCATCTGCAGCTTGTGAGCAATGCATGAAAACAAGAATCATAAAACAGCATTGCCTTCAGCATCCATGTGTTTATGGCTGTCATGGGGAGCATGATAGAGGAGGATGGATTAACACTAGCTCGCAGGCTGCCTAACCTGGAAGTCAGTCTCTGCCTTTAGACCTGCTCACTTCTTTTGAGAATGGAGATATCCACTGATCCTTTGTCCTACAACCTCAATTAATGTCTTCGTAGCAGCCATCTGTTAAATTCAAGAAGGCCCTGGAACAACTTAATTGGAAAAGTTTCCCTCTTATCCCTTGAAAAACCATAGAAAAACAATGTCACACAAATGTTCAACTTCTGATTTCTACAATTTCAGATACCAGGGTTTATCTGTTGCCATGACAACTAAGAGCTTTATAAATATTTTTCTAGCCTCTGCTTGCTATTTTCTGGAAATTATCTGCATTTCAATATTTGCTTAACGATTTTGAGCTGACACTAGTAACATAATTGTGTCTGGATTGTGTATGTGGTGTGTGTTGGTGGGGGTGGGTGTAATTGTTGTCTTTGTTTTTCAATGTGAGCAATTTTTAATAAATTTTAATATTTAATGTGCAAAAAAAAAAAGTTACAGCCCTTTCCACTTCGCAGACAAAAAGCTTAAAATGCCATTTTCTAGTGGACGCATGACTTCCTGAGAGTTGGTCTGGTGAAAAGAAGCCAACTGGAGGGTGATTGGGTGATTCTACCCACTGCAGGTTGGGTGGATGACAGAGTAGACAGGAGATGTTTGAAATTCTCAAAATTAACGTCATCTATTTTTTTCCAGCTTTGTGTTTGGCTCACATAAGCTGAAGCATATTTTTAGTTCTTAGAAACTTTATTCTCTTACCAGAATTATCTTCTAATCAGGGAACCAAATAGTAAAATTATGCTGAGTGCTTGCATTGACAGGAAACAGAATTTTAAGATAAATGTCAGCTCTCTGGACATTGTCTACATGATGCTTTTCTTTCTCTTCTCTGTGGACACACAGGTGTCACTGGTGACTGAAATGGCATGCTCTCTGAAGATCTGGGGCAGTCCCTTGGCCCTGCTTTGCATTCTTTGCAGGCTGCTTGTACATAGCAAGGACGTTTCCTGGAAAGAATTCATGACACTGCGCTACTTAGATCCAAGCTGAGATTTTGAAGACTGCAAATGTGATGCCCTCATGAGAGAAAAAGCGGTTCTGAAAGACAAGAGCTCTTATATGTCCATCTATAGCTTATGGCACAAAATGGAGTATATATGCATTATTGAAGTGGGAATAACTGATGTAGAAATGCCTATGTATGGGCCCAGGGTGCCATCAAAGTACTCGAGTGTCAGTGGGAGAAGTACAACAATAGCTACACAGAGAGCTTCAACTACATTGAATTCCACTGTTGCAAGGATGGGTATGTTGATAGCATAGGAGACCTGAGGATGGTGGAGCCTGTCAACAACTAGAAGATCTATGCACATCCTCAGGAATTGGTATTCAGTGCTTCCCAAGTGGTGGCCACTGCCTCCATCAATAGCCCCTGACATTGCACTTATGTGTCAGTGTTTTCCAAAACTTAGAATTATGAGTCGCATGACTTCTTGATACCATAACCTTGCCTGTGTTGTTTCTCTGCCTGGAATACACTTTTGTCTTCATTTACCTAGTTTATTCCTACACATTTGTCAAGCTTCAGCTTGTAATGCATCTGATGTTTGATAACCAAGATTTTTCCTGATATTCACTCTAAACCTACCCAGGGTGAATGATCTTCCCTTCCCTAAATAAACTGTATTATCCAATATGTGTGACATTCTACATATGATATATGTAAAGTAATTGTTGTGTAATTGGTATGGGTGTGTGAGATCTAGGCTATGTTTGCCTATGACTTAGGCTGTGCAAGGAGTTTAAGGCATATTTTATGTGGCTGTGTCTCTGCATGTGATACGTTTGTGTGTATCATGAGGATGTAAATGATTATAGGCTAAGCTGGAGACAAATTGTGATGTAGACACCAGTTTTGGGCTGGGTTTGGTGGCTCACACCTGTAACCCCAGGACTTTGGGAGGCTGAGGCGAACAGATGACTTGAGGTCAGGAGTTCGAGACCAGCCTGGCCAACATGGCGAAACTCCATCTCTACTAAAAATACAAAAAAATCAGTGGGGGGTGGTGGTGTGCACCTATAATCCTGAGTTGATATAATCAAAAAGGTCATAATCCAGTTTTAATGATTTTATTAAAGTGAAAAGAGAGGAAGGCCACTCTGTAACATACAGACTCCAGAGAAGTTTCAGTTTTTGCTTATGTAGGAAAAAGACAAAGAAATTAAAAAGGAATTCAATATTTTCTGTACCAGGCTGGTTCAAGAGTTACAACAAATTAATTAGTTACAGATTTGTCCCCAACCCCATGACTTGTTTTCATTTATTCGTAGCTGTGTTTCATTTCTGTTCCAATTTTAAGAGAGCATATTTAACATTCCATCCCAAGACAATGTGATAGCAATGAAATCTTTCCATAAAAAACAGAAGAGGGCATCCATCCAATGAAGATCAGCCAGCGGAGTTCAAACAAGTGTTCCCTGGCCCCCTTTAGTCATTTTACATTTCACACAACAGTGCAGGCAAGAAAGGGTCTCTAATCAGAGAAACCAAGGTATACCTGCCTTGGTTACAGCTGCCTAGTACGTGACTCAGGTCCCATCATCACTTTTTTTTTTCTTTGAGACAGAGTCTCATTCTGTTGCCCAGGCTGGAGTGCAGTGGCCAGATCTAGGCTCACTGCAACCTCCGCCTCCGGGGTTCAAGTGATTCTCCTGCCTCAGCTTCCTGAGTAGCTGGAATTACAGGAGCGCGTCACCACACCCGGCTAATTTTTGTATTTTTAGTGGAAACTGGGTTTTAGTGGAAACTGGGTTTCACCACATTGGCCAGGCTGGTCTCGGACTCCCAACCTCAGGTGATCTGCCCGCCTCAGCCTCCCAAAGTGCTGGGATTTATAGGCGTGAGCCACCACGCTTGGCCCATCATCACTTCTTTTTAAGTTTCAAAATAATATAGAGTTCCAACAGCTTAGATTTTGAATTACTTACTTTCATGGTGGTAACATACTTAGTTCCACTCAGATTCTTGGAAAAGGCAGAGCTGACTGGGTATAAAACACGTGGCATAGTTCCTGGCTTATGGTAGTTGCTCAGTAAAAATTCTTTCCTTTCTCATATTACTCTTTGGTTTTCTACTTTAATTTTGACTTCGATAAACAAATATAACAAGTGCCCATCAACCATTTCTGTCCCTGACTCTCGAGATGGGGATTTCTTTTATTTTTTATTTTTTAAATTTTTTTGAGAGAGTCTCACTCTGTCACCCAGGCTGGAGTGCAGTGGCGCAATTTCACCTCACTGCAACCTCCGTCTGCTGGGTTCAAGTGATTCTCCTGCTTCAGCCTCTCCGGTAGCTGAGATTATAGGCGTGAGCCACCATGCCTGGCTAATTTTTGGTATTTTTAGTAGAGATGAGGTTTTGTCATGTTGCCAAGACTGATCTCAAACTCCTGAGCTCAGGGAATCTGCCTGCCTTGGCCTCACAAAGTGCTAGGATTATAGGCGCGAGCCACCATGCCTGGCCTAGAGATGGGAATTTCTTTCTTTTCTTTTCTTTCTTTTCTTTTTTTTTTTGAGACAGAGTTTAGCCCTTATTGCCCAGGCTGGAGTGCAATGGTGCAATCTCAGCTCACTGCAACTTCTGCCTCCCGGGTTCAAGCGATTCTCCGACCTTAGCCTCTGAGTAACTCAGGATTACAGGTGCACACCACCAACCCCCACTGATTTTTTTGTATTTTTAGTAGAGATGGAGTTTCGCCATGTTGGCCAGGCTGGTCTCGAACTCCTGACCTCAAGTGATCTGTTCGCCTCAGCCTCCCAAAGTCCTGGGGTTATAGGTGTGAGCCACCAAATCCAGCCCAAAACTGGTGGAGATGCGGGAGAGTAAACTGGGGACCTCGTACATGCCGGGGATTTCTAATGCAAAACTACAGCAGGCTGTCATCTGTATGGAAGCTATACACATGCAGGATGAGAAAGAACATCTCCTCTATCAACCACACACTCAGATGTCTCTACTAGACTCAATTCCTTAAGAATGTTTCTAAGAAGTTCAATGCATGTTAGACGGGCTAAGGCATTACATTTCCTAAGGATGACACATCAAGTAGAAGATATTAGCACAAATGATTTTATCTGATAATAAACACGTTCGCTTGGCAGAAACATAGAGTGGAGGTTGGAGGACTTTAAAATACAATGGTTCTCAACAGTGGACTTAAGACCTAAATTTTGTTCATGGAATGAATGAGAAAGGAGATAGAAAGAAATGTTGGGTTCACAGGCAGGTAGGAACCATGTGAAATTCCGTTTGCTAACTGTAGGAGAGAGATACAAAGTAAGAAATGCTTGCTTCATGTAATTTTGCCTAGGTCCACTATGGGGAGGAAAAGTGCTAAACATTAAAGTATCTTGTGTTCTTCAGTCTCCTGCAATGTTGAATGGCTCTGGCCTTGAAACAATTAGAGAAAAGACCGAAGTATCAACATTATTTATGAGGTGACTGCACCTTTTTTTAGAACTCTGGTCTCGATGAGGAGTCAGTGTATCTACATCGGTCATCATGTTCCTATTGCAGTTCCTCAGCTTTGCAATTTTTAAGTGCACCTAAGGAGGAGCGGACACCTGGGGATGACAATCTCTACTAACCAAACTCAGAAGAGATTAGTATCAAACCAGTAGCAAGGCCGGGTGTAGTAGCTCACGCCTGTAATCCTAGCACTTTAGGAGGCCGAGGCAGGTGGATCACGGAGTCAAGAGATTGAGACCATCCTGGCCAACATGGTGAAACCCCATCTCTACAAAAATACAAAAATTAGTTGGACGTGGTGGCACGCATCTGTAGTCCCAGCTACTCAGGAGGCTGAGGCAGAAGAATTGCTTGAACTCAGGAGGCGGAGATTGCAGTGAGTCAAGATTGCGCCATTGCACTCCAGTCTGGCGACAGAGTGAGACTCTGTCTCAAAAAAGAAAAAAGAAAAAAGAAAAAAGAAAACCAGTAGCTCCTCCTCAATGGTCAATTTACACATGGGGAAAAATACTAATTATTTTTCTTGTTTGATAAATGTTCTTTAAAATATAGTGTAAGAGAGGAAAACATTTGCCTTCTACCCTTTTAGGATCTTAGCTGGGGCCCCTAAAAGAAAAGTCAGATTAACAAGAGAAAAACAAACAGAAATGTGGTAACATGTGTATCTCATGTATACATGGGAGAAGCTCAGACAGTAACTCAAAGAGGTAGCTAGAACTTGGGCTTAAATGCCGTCTTCAGCTAAAGCAAAGGAAAATGCATGTGGGGAACAAGTCATAGGGAGATGACCAGGAAAAGTATAGTAAATGAGGGAAAGTTTGGTCACGCAGATTTAAGTAAGTATCTTCTCCACTGAGTAGGGTCTTTTGTGATTTAGAGTCACCTTTCTCTATCTGGCACGAGAAGGAGACATCCATAAGAATGGAGGTTTCCCTTATGAATGCGCATTACCCTTACAAAAGGCCAATGCATACTCTATTTTCAGAGCTTGTCTTGTGTATACTGTTTTTCAAAATAAGCACTTCAAAATAATCTTTACGTTACAGAGCATACCTTGTGGTGGCATATTCTGATCTCCTATAGTAGATTCTCACAAATTTCTCATGTAAGTAGCTCTTTAAAAGTTGCTTTTACTAAAGGGTAAGCAGATGGTAATTCAAAACAGTATAGGAGGAAAGTGCATTTAAGGGCAATTAGTATACTAGGGTTGTGTATCAGTGGAACGTGAAACTGATACAGAAATGAATGAATATGCAGCTCTCCAAATCAGGGATAAATATCAGAGCTTTATAAGCTCTAGCTTGCCTGATTTCCATCCCTTATTTGGATAGTTGCATATTAATTTCCTTAGGGACCTATCTTCCTCTTTTGTGGACCTTATTGGTAAGGCTGTCCACTAAGGTTTGCAGTCCCCTCTGCTAAGTCAAGCAATTGCCATAAGATCCGAGCTAGGCTAACTGAACTTTCTTTTGTAGGAAATACATATATGGCACCCTAAAATATGCCTCGATACAAAGTCCTGTCAATTAGTGTTTGTGTAGCTTTGCATCCTCACCAGCTTTGGTGATGTCAGTTTGTACTGCATTTCAGCCATTGAAATAGATGTGTAGCATTATCACATCTATTGTGTTACTTTGTAATTCTCTAATGATAATGATACAATGAAAGGATTAACAGCTCATCAAAGTAGGAAGAATTATAATTACACATTAATCATAGCATGGTGGTCCACTTGGAGCAGCTTCCCTGCAGCTGCTAACTAACCAAGAGTCATGTAGCATGCTGACCACATGCTCCCCCATTGTTTCTATAGGTAGAAACTCACAAACAAGAATCGTGGGTCTTTTTTGCTCAAGAATTGCTTCAGGCATTTCAGATTCTGAACTCTAGTGGAGAGGTTGACACCAACCAGTCTAAAGACCCCACCATGCAACAGGCTCAGAAGAATGCACCTTTGGCACCTCTCTGTCCCAAGACTGCACTCCTCACTTCTCAATGAATCAAAAATCCCTACACTTCAGCTGCTGTCCAGATCCCTCACAAACCCTACCTTAAACCTCTTGGGGAGGTGGATTTGACTTTTCCTCCCATCTCCTTGTCTGACTGTCATAAAAATATGACACTATTTCTCTGCTACTATCACCATTATCTCAGTATGTTGACTTACTGGGCATAAGGCAATGAATCTATTATGGTTAAAGTTTAGTGGAGAGCTAGCCTGGAGGCTCCTCATGGGCATTTGTCCATGGTTCGGTACTCTCTTGCTGCTGTGGCAAACCTGGAGATTCACCGAAGTATCTGGAGTCTTTCTTGCCAGCATGGCACTGCCAACCTTCAGCTCAGGCTCACCTGCAAGGGAGAAATGGTTGCCAGAATGGGAAAACATCTCTGGTGAGTGTTCCAACATCCTCTTTTCCTTCTCCTGATCTGCTGGCCTTCTTAGAGGTCCTGTCACCTCTTTGGAGGCCCTGTTGTCCCTCCTTCATAAAGGGCCCTGCTCAAGGACATTTTTACCAATTAGAAGGAGCACAAGGGCAGTGTACAGTGGAACTATTCCACTCTATGGGCTCTATGGGTTTCAGTTCTGAAATCTGTTTGTTTTGTTTTGTTTTGTTTGTTTGTTTTATAAACAGAGTCTCGCTCTGTCACTGAGGCTGGAATGCAGTGGTACAATCTCGGCTCACTGCTGTTGGCTCTCCCTCCTTCACCTGGTGAAGGAGCTAGGGCCAGGCCACCAGCACTTGACCAAGAGGCCAGGAATGACGAGATGCAGGAATGGCTTCCTCTTCTCACACCTGCCAGAGAACCTAATTTGGCGAGGGAACCACTTTAGCTCCAGCAGGACAATTTTCCCTTCAACAATTACCTATAGGCGGCATTGACACTGATATAGGGCAACCCATGGGGCTCATTTGGGTACACTCTCCTTTCTCTATTTCTGATTTATTAAATTTGAAAAATAGTATGGTTACCTATTGAGATGATCCAAAGCCAATGGAAAATTTGTTCTCTTCCATATTGTTTTCTTCTGTATCTTATATCCCATAATCCTACTTGGGCCAATGTTCAAACCTGGACTCTGAAAGGGCGTACCAAAGCAGAGGAGCCTTAAGAAAGTTCAAGAAGTAAGGCATAAGCCCAATGAAAGCCCTTCAAGTTTTCTGGACTGTATTTTGAAGTGTTCAAAGAATACACTGATATTGGTCCAAAGGCCTTAGAATATTTAAAGATGATAAACATGACATTTATTAGCCAGAGTGTTCCTGACATCCAGTGAAATTTGCAATAAGTTGAAGGGGTACTGGACATATCTTTGTCTCAAATGGTAGAAACAAAGGTGTTCACTGGCAGAGACCTGGTCAGAACAGAGAGAACTATAAAACATTCAGCAGCAAGCCACCTTGCTAGCAGCTGCTCAAGGAACCCTTGGACCATGACACGGACCCACCACAGGAGCCTCATTTAAGTTAGGAGCCCCTGGGACCCAGGCTCCCTGTAAGTAGGAACACTCTACTTATTGAATTCCATGTGCCAAATGCAGACAGGAAGGCCATTGGAAAAAAGATTGACCAAACCACAAAGGGGCCAATAATGAAAAAATCAACTTCCAATTCACCAAATGCCTGAAATACCTGAGGGATCTGGGGCTGAGAACTTCTGTAATAAGGATCAAAAATGATGGGGTCCGAGGGCAGGTTCTGACCCAGCTAGTACCCTCCATATTTCCCATGTGGAGCCCTGGGTCATTATGATGCTGAGAAATCAACGTTTAGCCTTTCTAGTAGATACCAGTGCCACTTATTCAGTATTAAACGCACACCTGTTCAAATTGTCTTCTGAAACTATGAAAGTGATGGCAGTTTTAGAGAAGACCCTAAAAGAACCATTCCTGCAACCCCTAGGTTTCCAACTGTGACAGACCTGCTTAAAGCATCGCTTCTTATATATGCCTGAATACCCTATCCATTTCTTGGGACATCATCTCTTGACTGAACTGAATGCAAATGTTACCTTTTCCCCAGGATAGGTGAATATTACAGTGTGCGCAGATCAAGCCTATACCTTGCAAGCTGCATTGTTGCAGCAACAGGCTCAGAATCTCTTTCTCATCCCTGAAGAATTCCTAGAAGAGGTGGGTACTGATGCCTGGGCAGATGGGAAACCAGAGAATACTAAGTCTGCAGTCCCAGTACCAAAGTATGTGAAGGAACGATACTGCTGAGTCTTAAACAATACCACCTGAGAGAAGAGGTATGGGGAGGTGTTCAGTCTTTGTTGTCTGATTTCCTCCGGTCTTTGTACTCAATAGACCTTGCTGGTCCTCATGTAAGAAATCTTATCTGGACTTCTCTCAACTGACTAAAGCAGAGCATTGTGAAAATACAACCACCATTATCTCTCTCCAAGGGAATCCTCATGTAACCATGATAGGTGTGTGGCCTGATGCCTATATTCATCTTCTCATCTGTGTGTCAAGCAGTATGGGGCTAGGGTTTTGGGGTTTTTTTTTTAGTTTTCGTTTTGTTTGTTTTGTTTTGTTTTTGAGAGACAGGGTCTCACTCAGTCACCCAGGCTGGTGCTATCATAGCTAACTCCAACCTTAAACTTCTAAGCTCAAGCAATCTTCCTGCCTCCGTTTCCCAAGTAGCTGAGGTTACAGGCACGTGCTACCACTACTGGCCTTAAATTTTTTTTTTTTTTTTTTAGTTAGGTTATCACTATGTTGCCCAGGCTTGTTTTCAACTCCTGGCCTCAAGTGATCCTCCCACCTCAGCCTCCGAAGTAGCCGGAACTACAGGCATGTGCCACCACACCCAACTAATTGCTTTAATTTTCTGTAGAGATTAGATTTCTCCCTATGTTGCCCAGGCTGATCTCAAACTCCTGAGCTTAAGTGGTCCTCCCACTTTGACCTTCTAAAGTGTTGAGATTACAGGTGTGAGCCACCATGCCCAGACCCTACATTTCAATAGGGGTGAGTGAAAATAGAGATGTAATTTTCTGCACTGCACTACTGCATTGATGCTGTGAATTCCATCCATGGAACCCTTGGAAGCCCGTGGATCACAGATTAAGACGCCTACAGACATTGTCATCCCCTGAATAAGGAACCTAAGTCACTTTTATGGTTTTGTGAAACAGTAGTTCACAAACATTTAAGAACTGAATAGTGGCTAACAAAAGAAATATTGGCTTGGTGTGGTGGCTCACGTCTTTAATCCCAGCACTTTGAGAGGCTGAGGTGGGTGGATCACCTGAGGTCAGGAGTTTGAGATCAGTCTGGCCAACATGGCGAAATCTCGTCTCTACTAAAAATACAAAAATTAGCCTGGAGTGGTGGTATGTGCCTGTAATCCCAGCTACTCAGGAGGCTGAGGCAAGAGAATTGCTCGAACCCAGGAGGCAGAGGTTCCAATGAGCTGGGATCATGCCTGGGCGACAAGAGTGAAACTCTGTTCCAAATAATAATAATAATAATAATAATAATAATAATAATAATAGGATATATCAAGGAATTAACAGAAAATACTTAAAATCAAAGACAATATTTAAAGGATGAACATAATTTTCAAGTGATTTAAAATTTATATTTAAAGGGCAATACTTCCTTAAGAACTGAAATCCAAAGTCACTGCCCAAGGAGCTTCTATTACAGAAGCTGGCAGACAACTCTAGGAAGTAGACCCATTAAGTGGTTTCCAGAAATACTGGTTGGGCTACCTTCCTGGGCTGCATTGGTAGTGGCTAATTTCTGTAAATATAACAATATACTTTTCTCCAGTTTAGTTTAGATTGCTTCCTAATTGGTTTTATATCCAAAAAGCTTTAGGACTTTGGGCTTAGCTCATAAGAGAGTTCATGGATGTATGCTTGGAGTCCATATTTTTTTTCCATATTAAAAGTGGAATATCAATTGTTTGAGAAATATTGGCTCATACATTGGCTCAGGTGGCTTCTCTCTCCCACCTCTCTCTACATTCATTGAGTCACTGCTTGAATTTAAGTCTTCAATAGATAATGCACATTTGTTGGAAAGAGCTCTGGATGTGTGGGCACACGACAAACAACTGACTTTCCCTCAGAATCACCTCCCAAGTCATCCAGATACAGATGCCCAGAATTGTTCCCTTTTTGCTCTCCCCTGTCCCCCAAAGACCTAGAGAGTAAGAAGATGCACAGAACCTGCTCTGAGACTATCTCCCGTTCACCCAGTCTATCAGCACATGATTTCCTGTTACTCAAAGATTGCTTGACAGGAGCAGGGGCTTGAAGATAAGTTCTGGATATAAACTGAACCTTCTGTCATTCCAACAATAAGGTGGCCCAGTGAGAAAATCAACTAAGGTGGTTTGGCTAGAGCAGACTTCAGAGGTGTTGATAGAAAAGATTTGCAAGAATCTTACTTTATTCATAAATCTTAATTTTGACTAGCGTTGATGAACCAGTATTGGTCACATTTGCCAATTTACAGGGAGGTTGGCATGAAAAATATGGTGGAAAATTCAGGTAGTGATGTTAAAGGTAACCCATTGAACACTTGCACAAACTCAGTTGAAGAGTTCGTGGTCTTGTCAGTTTGAGCTGAGTTCAGGACTGAATCTTGAGGTCCTGAAAAACAACTTAACCAGCACCTTGTTACCTGTACTTCACAGTCAGATGTTATGTATAGTAGCATTGTGGAAACTATGGCTAAGTTATGTGACATTTTAATAGCAAGCAGTACAGTGTCACCAAACAGCTAAAGGTTATAATTAAAGAACTGAGTAAAGAAATTTCAGATGCTGGCTACCTAATCATTCATAGCTATTTCGCCACTGTTTTTACTAGATATTCTTTCACCTCTCAAGGAAGGTCTTACAATTGACAACATTAAAAGTGATTTTCTGGCCCGACCAAGTGGCTCATGCCTGCAATCCCAGCATTTTCGGAGGCTAACGTGTTGAGGATTAGCTGGACTCAGGAGCTCAAGACCAACCTCGGCAACATGATGAAATCCTGTCTCTACAAAAATTAATACAAAAAACTAGCCAGGCATGGTGTTGCACGCCTATAGTCCCAGCTACTTGAGAGGCTGAGGTGGGAGGATTGCTTGAGCCTGGCAGGTTGAGACTGCAAGGAGTAGTGTTTGTGCGACTGCACTCCAGCCTGGGTGACAGAGCAAGACTCTGTCTAAAAAAAAGAAAGAAAGGAGGAAAGGCTGGGCACGGTGACTCACACCTGTAATCCCAGCACTTTGGGAGGCCGAGTGGGTGCATCACAAGGTCAGGAGATCGAGACCATCCTGGCTAACACAGTGAAACCCCATCTCTACTCAAAATACAAAAAATTAGCTGGGCGTGGTGGCGGGTGCCTGTAGTCTCAGCTACTTAGGAGTCTGAGGCAGGAGAATGGTGTGAACCCGGGAGGCAGAGGTTGCAGTAGCCGAGATCATGCCACTGTACTCCAGCCTGGGCAACAGAGCAACACTCTGTCTCAAAAAAAAAAAAAAGTGGCTTTCCTCAGTGAAGTTCCCATGTAACATGGCATAAGTCATAATCCTCCAGGGACTTCCCCAGAAGTTTCTTAGAATTGAGAGCAGATACTAAGTCTCTGGTTGTCTCCTGATAGCACCAGATAACCCCTTTCTGGGGTCACCTAGGTCTTACAATTATTTTGTGCCCAGGGCTCAGCCTTTGATGTTTGTAGCCTTTGCTCGAGGCTACTGTTTGAGTGAACCCAAGTGTTCCAGATGAAACGATACAAGAACAAGTTCACATAATAAGGCTGTTCCCCATCGCCCCCTCCACTACCAATCAGCTGGAGCGCTGCAGCTCCCCTTGCTCTTCCTTTCTCCACTGCTGCAGATTTCCAGGGCTCTGAGAAAAGGAGGAGGACGCAGACTCTGCTCTTCAGATCCACACGCTGATCCCCACTACAACCAGTGACCTGAACTCGGAGTCTGAGTAGGGTAAGAAGGGCTCTACTGAGGATGCTCGGGGTACAGCCAGGAGCACTAGAAGGGGGCTGACTGAGCTTTCAGATAGCAAAAAATGGAGAAGGATCCAAATCATGGAAAACAAAGGCCTGAATTCTGGTCAGCCTCAGTCCCACTGATACAGGCTTTCCCTGCTCCTCCCTTCCTTCACCGCCAGTCCTCCTAACCACAATGCATTAAAGCTGCTTGCATCCTACTCTTCTATCCTGTGTAGGCCTTTATCACTAGGACTGGGTTCCGTGGATGAGGAACCCTGTGTCTGATGTGGGCATTTGACATGGTTAGAAGTGCTCTCACATGCTTGCATCTCATTAGACTCTTGCAGGTCTGTAGGGAGCTGTTATTAGGCCTATCTGAGGACATCGATACTCAGAGCTGTGAATCAGGCTAGAGGTTCAGTAGGGCCAGGAATACTCCTCATGGGAAATGAGGACAGAGAGCTGGTAAAGAGATAACTTTTTCAAATGACCATACATCCTATGCTGTGACCACAGTAGCTCTGCGGGGGACTGTTTTAGTCTTGGTGCCTGATTGATTACAGCAAAAGTTCTAAACTGATGTCCTTTTATGATGGCATTGCCAATAAGCTCTAACAAATGAAGATCATTTGTAATAGCAATAATTAGGGAAATGGCCTCTGAGAAGGGATGTGGATAGTGAATAATGATCACATGTTTCACCCAGGCTTTGGGGAAAGTGTTATAAGGAAGCCAAGGTTGGAAAAACATCACTTTTCAGAGAAGTGCAACCTGGGCTGTGGTTTCCAGAACCAATGCCTTCTGCCTAGGAACCACCTCCCAAGTAGTTACTCATCTTCTGCATTCCCTTAAAATGCAACAATCTTTTCCACTTTGCAGACAAAAAGCTTAAAATGTCATTTTTCTATTGGACACATGATCTCCTGATAGTTTATTTGGTAAAAGAGAGCTAGATAGTGATTGGCTTCTCAAATTGGATAGAAGACAGGGTAGACAGGAGATATTTGAAATTCTCAAAAGGTACATGATCTATATTTTTCAAATTTGTGTTTGGCTCTCACACGCTAAAGCATGTTTTTAGTTCTTAGAAAGCTGTATTCTTTTTTTTTTTTTGAGATGGAGTTTTGCTCTGTTGCCCAGGCTGGAGTGCAGAGGCGCAATCTCACCTCACTGCAACCTCTGTCTCCCGGGTTCAAGCGATTCTCCTGCCTCAGCCTCTCGAGTAGCTGGGACTACAGCCACTATGCCCAGTTACTTTTTGTATTTTTAGTAGAGATGGAGTTTCACCATGTTGGCCAGGGTGTTTCTCGAACTCCTGACCTCAGGTGATCCACCCACCTCGGCCTCCCAAACTGCAGGGATTACAGGTGTGAGCCACCGCGCCTGGTCCAGAAACTGTATTCTTTAATGAGAATCATCATCTTCTAATAGGGAAACAAATAGCAATATAATATGTGCCCAAGTGCCTGCTTGGCAGGGAAAGGAATTTTAAGGTGGAGCTCAGTTCTCTGAGTATTGTCAGGATAATGTTTTTCTTTCTCTTCCCTGTAGACACGCAGGTGGCCCTGGTGACTGAGATGACATCCTCTCTAAAGATCTGGGGCATGCTCTTGGCCCTGCTTTACATCCTTTGCAGGCTGTGTGTATACAGTAAAGACGTTTACTGGAGAGAATTCATAAAACTTCATTACTTAAGTCCAAGTAGAGAATTCAAAAGGTACAAATGTGATGTCCTCATGAGAGAAAAAGAAGCTCTGAAAGGCAAAAGGTCTCATATATTCATCTATAGCTTATGGTTCAAAATTCAGCGTACATGCATCGATGAGAAGGGGAGCAACCGATATAGAAATGCATATGTATGGGCCCCAGGTGCCCTTAAAGTACTCGAGTGTCACTGGGAGAAGTACAACAGGAGGTACATAGAGAGCAGAAGCTTCAGCTACATTGAATTCCACTGTGGCATAGATGGATATGTTGATAACATAGAAGACCTGAAGATTATAGAACCTATCAACAACTAGAAAGTCTATGCACATCCTCAGATATTGGTAGAGTATTCAGTGCTTCCAAAGTGGTGGGCCCTGCCTCCATCAATAGCCCCAGCCACTCCCCACTTACATTTATGTGTCAGTGTTTTCCAAGTACTTAGAGTTTATGTACCTTGCGATTTCTTGATACCAAATCTTTGTGTGGTGTCTGTATCTGTAATACAATTTTGTCCTAATTTGCCTAATTTACACCCACACTTTTTCCAAGATTCAGCTCCTATGGCATCTATCCTTGACTAACCTAAGATTTTTCCTGATATTGACTCTCTTTATACCTACCCAAGCTGAACAAACTTCTTTTTCTTAAATAAAATATATTATTCTAATATATGCGACACTTATATATATTATGTGTGCAGAGTATGTATTGTGTGATTGGTGTGCGTATGGGTGATCTAGGCTATTTTTGCCTGTGGCTGTGCAAGGGGTTTAGGGTGCACTTTATGTGTCTGGGTCTAATGTATGTGATATATTTATGTATATCATGTGGATATAAATGATTGTGTGCTAAACTGGAGACAAGTAGTGATGTAAGCACTCATCATGGTATCAATTTGAAATAATCAAAAAGGTCAAAATCCAGTTTTAAGAGCGGGCTGGGCACTGTGACTCATGCCTCTAATTTCAGCACTTTGGGAGGCCAAGACAGGTGGATCACCTGAGGTCAGGAGATCGAGACCAGCCTGGTCAACATGGTAAGGCCCTGTCTCTACTAAAAGTACAAAAATTTGCCAAGCTTGGTGGCACATGCCTGTAGTTCTAGCTATGGGAGACTGAGGCAGGAGATTCTCTTGAACCTGGGAGGCAGAGGTTGCAGTGAGCCGAGACTGCGCTACTGCACTCCAGCCTGGGCAACAGAGCAAGACTCCGTCTCAAAAAAAATAAAAAAGAATTTACTAAAGTGAAAGGCTGGGAATGGACATTCTGTGGCACACAGACTCCAGAGAAATAGGGTCAGTACTCCAAAGTTAAAAGTTAAGTTCTTTTTTATGTAGGAAAAAGAGAAAGAAGTGAGAGAGAATTGCATTTTCTATACCAGACTGGTTCAAGAGTTACAACAAATTAATTGGTTACACTTCTGTGCCCCCACCACATGACTTGTTCTATTTATAGTTGTTTTTCAATCCTTTCCAACTCAAAAGAGTGTATTTAACATTCCATCTTAAGACAATGTGAAACTGGGAGACTGAAGTGGTCGGATTGCTTGAGCTCAGGGATTTGAGACCAGCCTGGACAACATGGTGAAACTCTGTCTCTACAAAAGAAAAGCAAAAATTAGCCAGACATGGTGGCATGTCCCTCTAGTCCCAGCTACTGAGAAGGCCGAGGTGGGAGGACGGCTTGAGCCCAGAAGACAGAGCTGCAGTGAGCCGAGATTGTGCTACTGCACTCCAGCCTGGGTGACAAAGCCATACCCTGTCGCGAAAACAAACAAACAAAAACAAAACAACAACAATAAAACAAAAAGACAATGTGAAAGCGATGAAGTCTTTGCAAGAGAAAGGGAAGAGGGAAGTTAATCCATAACGAACATCAGCAGTTGAGAGGGGATGAGTCTTCCCTGGGCCCCTTCAGCCATTTAAAACATTTCACAAATGCAGGTAAGAACGAGGCTTAATCTCTAGAGAAACCAAGATACACTTGCCTTAGTTACAGCTGCCTGGCACATGACTCAAGCACCATAATTACATTCTTTTAAGGTTCCCAATAATTTAGAGTTCCAACAACTTAGATTTGAAATTGTAGATTTTAATGATGTGACACGCTTAGTTCCACTCAGATTTCTGGGTATAGGCAGAGCCGACTGGGTATAAAACACGTGGCATGGTTTCTGGCTTATAATAGGTACTCAGTGAAAATTGTTTCCTTTCCCATCTCACCCACTGGTTTTGTACTTTAATTTCCATTTTGATAAACAATCATTGTAAGTACCCATCAATCATCTGCTGTCCCTGACCCTAGGGGTGGGAATTTCTCATACAAAAATAGAGTAGGCTGTCATCTATATAAAAGCTGTACACACCCAGGATGAAAAAGAACACCTCCTCCATCAACCACACACTTACAGATGTCTCTGTTAGACTTAATTCCTTAAGAATGTTTCTAAGAAGGTCAGTGCATGTTAAATGGGCTAAAGCATTACATTTCCTAAGGATGACACATCAAGTAGAAGACATTAGCACAAATGATTTTATCTGATAATAAACATGTTCGCTTCGCAGAGACATAGGGCTCTGGCCTTGAAACAATCAGGGAAAAGACCGAAGTATCAACATTATTCATGAGGTGACTGCACACTTTCCTGTAACTCTGGTCTCAATGAGTAGTCAGTGTATCTAGATTGGTCATCATGTTCCAAAGGCAGTTCCTCAACTTTGCAATTTTTGAGTGCACCTGGGGAGGAGCAGACACCTGGGGATGACAGTCTCTACCAATCAAACTCAGAAGAGGCTAGTAGTAAACCAGTAGCTCTTCATCAATGATCAATTTACATATGGGGAAAAAAATGCCATTTTTTCCTATTTGATAAATGCTCTTCAAAATGTAGTGTAGGAGAGGAAAAAAATTTTACTTCTACCCTTTTAGGATCTTAGCAGGGGCCCTATAAGAAAAGTCAGATTAACAAGAGAAAAACAAATAGAAATGTGGTAACATGCATATCTCATATACACATAGGAGAAACTCAGAGAGTAACTCAAAGGGATGGCTAGAACTTGGGCTTCAATGCCATCTTCAGCTAAAGCTAAGGAAAATGCATGTGGGGAACAAGTCATAGGGAGATGACCAGAAAAGTAGAGTAAATGAGGGAAAGGTTTGATTTGAGTCGAGTACCTTCTCCACTGAGAAAGGTCTCTTGTGATTTAGAGTCACCTTTCTCCTTCTGGCACAGAGAAGGAGACATCTGTAAGAACGGAGGTTTCCCTTATGAATGCACATTTTCCTTGCAAAAGGGTAACGTGTACTCTATTTTCAGAGATTTCCTGTGTATCCTGTTTCTCAAAATAAGCAGTTCAAAATAATCTTTGTGCTAGAGAGCATACTTTGTGGTGGCATATTCTGGTCTCCTAAAATAGGTTCTCACAAGTAACTCATGTAAGTAGCTCTTTAAAAGTTGCTTTTACTAAAAGGTTAGCAGATAGTGGTTCAAAGCAGTACAAGAGGAAAGTGCATTTAAGGTCAATTAATATATTAGCTTTGTATATGTGATATACAAAGTGATATATATTTAAAGGCAATTCGCATATTGGCTTTGTGTTTTTTCTCTGCCTTTCACAGTATTTTATTTATTTATTTATTTATTTTGAGATGGAGTCTCCTCGTGTCGCTTAGGCTGGAGTGTAGTAGTGTGATCTTGGCTCACTGCAACCTCTGCCTCCCAGATTCAAGGGATTCTCCTGCCTCAGCCTCCCAAGTAACTGGGATTATAGGTGTCCACCACCATGCCTGGCTAATTTATGTATTTTTAATAGAGATGGAGTTTCATCATATTGGTTAAGCTGGTCTCGAACTCCTGACCTCAAGTGATCTGCCCTCCTCAGCCTCCCAAAGTGCTGGGATTACAGGTGTCAGCCACCATGCCCGGCCAAGAATTTCGTAAGGTGTTTCAGATCTTGAATTTCAGTGTTGTGGCTGGTGCCAACTGGTCTAAAGACCTCCACCAAGGAACTGGCTCAGCACAAGATTGTAGTTTTCTTCTTCCCCCTGTCCCATGACTGCACCCCTCAATTCTTGATGAATCAGAGATCCCTGATGAATCAGCTCTGGTCCAGACCCCTTACAAACCCTACCCCTAAACCTCTGAGGGAGGCAGATTTGAGTTTTCTTCTCATCCCCCTGTCTGTCTGCCCTCGGAATATTACACTACCTCTCTGCCTTTATTGCCATTATTTGGTATGTTGACTTGCTAGGCACCAGGCAATGAATCTATTGTGGTTAAAATTTAGTGGAGAGTGTCAGAGATGATAAATTCCTTTTCAAAAGGTTTTAATTCCTTGTTCTTCTGGGATCTCTGTTTCTCTAGTTTCTATAGTTACCCATGCTGTAAACAACCCTTTCTGCCCTTGCCGCACCCTGACATGCCCTGACAAACCTAGACATGCCTTGTGCCATAAGGGATAGCCTTCCCCTTCCTGCCTAGATACCTGTGTTCAATTTCAAACAGCCAATTGGGTCAGTTTAGACTGTGCAGTCCAACCCCAGCCAGTGGAGAAAGGACACAGCAGTAGGAACAAATTGCATTAGGGATAAAAACCCTGGCCCTACCCAGGTCAGTGTGCTTTTGCCATCGAGACTGGCACACGCTGCATCCTTCTGTAGAAGTAAATTTGCCTTGCTGAGAAAATTTCCATTTGAGTGCTATTCCTTTTGCAGCACCAAAACTTGTTTTTAACAAGAGCTAGCCTGGAGGCTCCTCATGGGCATTTGTCCCTGGTTCAATGCCTTCTTGCCACTGTGGTGAACCTGGAGATCCACTGAAGTCCCTGGAATCTTTCTTGCCAGCATTGCACTGCCAACCTTCAGCTCAGGCTTGCTTGCAGGGGAGGAATGTTTTCTGGAAATGGAAGACATCTTTACTGTGTGTTCCCAAGCACAGGTGACATCCCCCATTTCCTTCTCCTGATCTACTGGCCTTCTTAGAGGTTTTGCAACCTCTTTGGAGGTCCCATCGACTCTCCTCCACCTATACAAAGGGCCCTGCTGAAGGGCATCTTTCCCACTTGGAAGGAGCCCATAGGGCACTGTCCAGGGGAACTACTCTTGGGCTTCTTGGTCTCAGTTCTGAAATCTGATTTCTGACTTGTGAGGTCTCATTACTGTTCTTGTTTGTCCCGTTTACCTGTGTGTCAGGGGGCATCCTAAAGGAATCACTAGCTGAAGTTCAGTAGGTCTGACTCAGGGAACCCATCCTCTCTGCCTCACAGTTACTTTTGGTGAGTGCCGAGGACCAACCAGCAGCATCTTGGTGGCCTAGCTCAGGATGGCCATTTGTTCCCTCTTCCTCACGAGTGGCCATTCACTACATTGCTGGCTAGAGGTCATCCCTCCCCCGATGGAGTGGATCAAAGGCACTCAGACATTGAGTGGAACAACTGGTGTTTGCATCTTTTTTGTATGTTAATTGTAATTTTATCTTGGTTGATATGAAAAATGCTGATTTTGTCCTCTCAGGCAGGCTGTTAGGCTGCATTTCACAAAATTGGGCATCCATTGCCTAAGAATCCATTAAAAGAAAAAAATACTTTTGTAATACAACCTGGCCCCTTCATCCATCAGAATGTGGGGGAAAAGTGACCAAAAATAGGTTCCTTAGTTATTATGTCATCTG